TCCTGGGCCTGGAAACTACTGCTGTCTCTTCCAGAGTGTAGTTGAGGAGGTGGGGGAGTGGGGCTGCAGCCATGAGAGTGGGCGAGTTGGCTGAGGTTGCCTCTAAAACCCTGACAGCTCTGTTGGAGACCACACTCTGGGTAGGAGCCAGCCTCAGCCCCCAGGGCACTTTTTAGGAGGTGAAAAGTGCAGCAGTTAAAGGCGGCAGCTATGGGGAGGCCTCGCTTCCCAAGCACTCAGCATACCCACCTCCCAGGCGCCAGCTCCCCTGCACCTTCCCTCTCCCTCCCGCTTCAGGCTGCACTCTGAAGTGTGGGGCTCCTCTCCCCCTTAGGCACCTCCCTCAGGCTGCAGAGTTGCACAGATGCCACAGACAAGGGTCCTCCTTACCTCCCAGCAGTGAGATAGTGGGAAGACTGAGGCAGGGCTGCACCTTGGGGGATAGTGAAGGGAGTCCCCCCAGCCCCCGCCTTTTTTTTTTTTTTTTTGCCAGCAAGGGGTCTGCACCCTACCCAAGCAAGAGGGAGGACAGCTTCTGTGAGCTGAGGGGCTGAGGATGAAAGCCTCTTCCTTGTTCTGATAACAGGCATCCTGGTTTGGGCTGCTGGAACCAGCCAGCAGATGAAAGCAGGGCTAACTCTGGCCTGTTGTTATCTCTGGGGCTTAACACCTAAGTTTGAGCAGACCCCCTGGCCCACTGCATCACACACTCTGGTGCTTTAGCCCATGCAGCCATGTTGCTGAGAGCTCTGCCATCAGTCTGAGTGCCGAGGTCTGGGCAGCCCCTCCTCGCCTAGCTTTTGTTCCTGACTCCTGAGACCTAGAATGTTGCAGAATGAGGCCAGGAGCTCATGGCTCAGGACACCTACAGCTGCTGCCTTTGGCCCCATGACCAGGCACAGGTACCCAATAGCCTCAGCAGCATTTTCTGGGAGACCTGAGATGTTCCTGGGCATCCACAGGCCCTAGAAGGTGACAGTTGTGACCAACATCTGGAAAGGGTTACTGCTGAGGAGGCTAAGGCAGGGAAGCGGAAGCCCTCTCTGTACCTGAGTTTCCACCAGAAAACTGGGGCAGACATGTGGCTTTTCCTACCCTAGCCAAAGAGAAAAGGTTCTCAGCCTCTGAAGCCCTTTCATGAGAGCAGGCCAGCACAGTGCTCACACCATGATGCAGGACTTAGAGGTAGGCTAGGTCCCAAAACTCTGGTGGGCACAGTGGAGACAGGGGCATGATGACAGGGGCTGTGTGCTGGAATGCTGGGGCCGGGGGCTGAGGCGCAGGAACTCAGGAGGGTCGGCCTCTCTCAGAGCCCTGCCCCATGGTCACCACGCTTGTCTCTCAGCTAGAGATGACTGTGTGCACGATGGAACTGTAGAACTGCTGAGAGCAATGGCAGTACACAGTCTGAGCCAGAGGGTGTGCAGGGCTGGCTGGGGTCTGGGGCCTTTCCCCCCAGAAAGACTGCCACACCTCACTCCCAGGAAACCCATGCTACCCAGCCCTCTTGGTCCTGGCTTCAAAGGGGAAGGCAGCAGGATCACCCAACCGGACTGCCTCAGCTCGTATCCCATGCCCAGTGGCCCTCTCAGTGCCCACTACTGCAACTGTAAATCCCGACCACAGCAGAGTATAGACACACACTATACACAGGGACAGAGAAGGCTGAGCTGAGCAGCTCATGTGTCCCTTATTTTGAGGTACTTGGTAACTCTGGCTGAAGCCAGGTTTATGGTCCACCAGATGGGGGAGAAGCCCTGACCCACACTCCCTATGGACAGCCAGAGGAGGGGTAGGGGAGGAGGGAGAGACTGTTTTAGCTGCAGTGCTGTCACAGATGTGCTGAATGACCTGAGCCAGTGACTTCACTTCTCGTCTGCTTGAGCGTCTATGGAACGGGGGCAGGGGGGGAGGGTCTACTCTAGTGACCCCACTGGGTGTGCAAGGCTCTAAAGAGAAAAGGACAAGTTGGGGCTTCAAGAAGCAGAACCCGCACTGAACACACATAGGAGACTCCTCAGGCAGAGGCCCCTGGGGACGCATTCCTCACCTGGGTGGGAGTGCTGAAATGCCCTTTCTGGCTCCAGGTGCACGGCATGCACAGTGGGCAGAGCCTTGGCAGATGCCATTTAAGGGTGACTCAGAGCTGAGCAGCACAGCAGACGTCCCTTTGGTGGTAGAGAACACCAGCCTGGTGCTGCGTGGGGGTGCTAATGAGGGGCCAGGAGGAATCTCAGGCACTGGCAAACAGGCCTACCCTGCACAGCTGTGGTGAGGAGACAGGGTTTGGAAAATCTCCCTTGGCACCAGGCACTGGGCAGCTGGCCTGGACCTGCCTGTCTGCTAAAGTCCAGCCTTGGGGCTTGAAAGACCCCACCCCAGCACCCAGGCAGGGGTCTCCACGAGCTATCCTGCAGACCACAGGAGAGTTGCTGTTCTTTGAATGCTGCTGGCCTGTAGACCAGAGTCACATCTGGTTCTCATTCAAATGTCCAAACGTAATTAAATTCTCTACGACGCAGCAGAAGAGTTTGGAAAGATGTGGCTTTCCCCCCCTTCAGTCAAGGTTAAGAAATCTCAGTCCCTCACTCCCCCAGCAGACTCACCCTCCTCCCTCCCATTGGTCTGTCCTATTCTGTGAAGGTCAAGGACTGTGCTCTTATCTGTTTTCAAGAGCTTACGGGGCAGGGACCAGCATGGGACATAAAGAGCCCCCCAGCTGTCCTTGTCACCCACCTGAGGTGAGTAACAGCAGAGACCAAAGCCTGCTTGCAGCTGAGTAGGTCCAAACACTGGGGGCTGGTAGCAGTGGGGATGTTAGTGTCCACTCCTCCTCAGAGGGCTTCCCCCAGCTCTGAGGAGACAGCACTGTGCCCAGGCTCACTTCAGTGACACACCAGTGTCCTTCCGCTGATGAGACATGAGGATGTCCCATAGTACCCTGGTGAGGGAATCCCCTTGTCACAGCTCCTCATGTAGGAAGTGCTTCAGAGTTACAATTCTGGAATCTTTGGGACAAGGAGCCCTGGCCTGACCCTACAGTACCTCTTCCCTCTCACCTTGGGACAGCTGCAAGGAGGTGCCCCTCCCCCATACACGAAGGAAGAGCGATGGGAGAAATGATGGTGGGGTGAGTCTCACAGACAAGGTCAGGAGTGGCATCTGAGCCCCCTCGAGGGATTTCTAGACCTCCATGTCTCACAGGATTGCTCGTCATTTCTGGCCTGTAAGGGCTCTGAACATGCTAAGGGACAGCAGGGCCCAAGTGTGGGTGTGGGGGTGTCCCGCTCCCTTGAAAGGAGACCCATTAACCCCAGGCCTCGGAGCGTCTCCTCAGCCTCCTGCTCAGGACTTCCCCAAATCCAGGCAGCCCTAGATGGGCCGCATGCCCCGGCCTTCTTCTCCACCTGAGTATCTTCAGTTTATGGCTTCTTTTCACTCGAGGATTTATGACTTTCATGGTAATGGGTTCCATTCTACTTTCTTTATGGCTATTTTTCTAATCATTGTAGTACAGGCTTTTTGAAAGTCTTACTAAGTGGGAGTATTTCTCCTTTAGAAACAAACTATCCCACAAGTAATAGCTTAATAGGGGTGGGGACGCTACCCAGAGACGAATGGGGGTCGGGGAGGGGATGAGCAGGGCAGGGGTAGGAGAGAAGCTTCTGGATTAAATAGCGCTGTGCCGAGGTCCCTTTAAGACTCTAGGCCAGCTCCTGTGTTACAGTCCCACATGCTGCTCATAAACATTCCTACCAGAGAGCTCCGACCACATACAGGCACACAGGCATTTGTGTGCCAAAGAATGCTCACCCTGGGGACAGGCACATGCACACACAAGGTGGTGTGAACCAACCAATCCTAGTATCATTGACCTGGTCCTAAAAAGGAATAGGGATTTTTTTTTTTTGTATGTTTCCAAGTGGTAAACTTGACCTTTGTAATGGATTTTGTTTCTTGGTGGCGTTTAGTTCCAGCTCCATGTGTCTGGTAGCCTTTACATCAGTGATCAAGGAACCCACCCCAGTTCTCAGTCCAGATGTCCTAGGCCAAGCCTGGCAGAAGGAATTGTGTTGGGGCAAGGTCTCTGTTGCCCCCTCGGGGCCCCAGCCCGTGTTCTTGGCTCCACACACTGTAGCTGGGAGAGCCCCACAATCTCAATTAATTGCGGTGGCGCTGCCGCCTGTCCAGATGAAAAAGGCTGGGCTGATGCTGGGTTTGCCTTTGTGCTGCGTTCACAGACTGGCTGCTGGTGCCGGGGCTCTATTCATTATTCAATTCAGCTAGCTCAGACGAGCCTTTCCATTTGTTCCTCCAGGAGGAATAACAAATCTAGAAATGCAATTCCACTTTGGTGTATTAAGATATTGATTTGCCTGTCGGGTGGAAGTGCATTTGTTCTGTCAGCCCTCCCCTGGGTAAGAAGGGGTTAACCAAATGTTTATCACAAGGCTGGCTTCAGAGTTGAAAGTAATGTGATCAGTAATGAATTTTGTGTTACATTAGGTTGTATAAATGGACAGACAAGCGCAGACAACAAGTGGCCAGGAGTCGGGGCTAATCTAATGATGTAAAAATAGAGACAGCACCAATTATACTAGGGGCCAGCTCCAGGCTCCTGCAGGGACTGCAAATGAATAGGTACAAATCAAATTACTCACTAATAGACGCACTACAAGAGGGGCAGTCAATGGTAAATGCATTAGAGCCTAGTGACCTCTCTGCTCTGCACAGCAGAGTCCGAAAATTTGACTTCCATCTTCAAAGTGGGGGGCAGGGAGTGGTGTTCTCAAAGAAACTCTTGTCGGGTGAAGGATGACAACTACTCCCTATCCCAAACCAGTCCCCTGCCAAAGGGACCTCCTGTCTGAGCTGACCTCTTGCCCTCAGTCCAGTGCCTCTTGAGCCTGGGCACCAGGGGTGGGAGGGCACCCTCATGAGAGATGAGAAGGGCAGTGGGGCAAAGCCTTCCCCGTGGGCAAAGACAGGAAGTTACATACCCAAACACTTCACAGCCATGTGCCTCTCAGGGGTGAAGTTTTTTACTGCTACATCAAGAGCTGTGTCTGAATTGAAAATAAAATATTTCTTTAAAGAGGATCACGAAATGGACCTTTAAGAGCGTAGCATGAACTGACATCAAAGTGAACAGATATCAAAATCTGGTTTGACCACTGAGAGCTCTGCAGGGGGTGTAGTTTGTTCCAGGGCACGGCACATCTAGGCATTCGCCGATTTCTCACTAGCCTGAACAGGTGTCATCATTTGCTCTATTCCTCCTCCCCAGTCCAGCCCACTGAGATCCTGTATTCCTGCCCACCTCCCGGGGCTCGGGTAGGGAAAGACGTGGACATAAAGCCTGTATCTTGGGCAGTCCCTCAGGTTTCTTCCTCTGCTCAGGTTCCGTGGATTTAGAAAATGGGCTGAAGTTCAAAGTGCTTGGCAGTGTGGCTGGGCTGCTTAGGGAAGGATCATGGAGACGTGCTCAAATGCATTAGCTACATGCTCATATTCAGCTCTCAGTGGCATGGGGATGAGTAAAGTATGAAACCAAAGAAACTCCAAGCCTTCCAAGGACCCAGCCCATGCCTGGATGGAGGCAGGGCCCTGGCAGGCTTAGCCCACACTTCCCCAACCACCCCTAGAGCCAGCACCAAACAGCTGCACACATCAAAGTGGAGGTGGCAGGTGGGTGCTGGCCAACTGGAGCCTGGAGACAATGGGAACATTCCAGAAAAATGAACTAGGGGGTATAGAATGGAAAAGTTATCCTAAACAAATGAAGCAACTAGACGGTGATTCTCCCTAAACTCAATTAAGCACACAGAGGGGCAGAGCTGCTGCCAATGGCGTTACACTAAATAAAACACACACGCACGGAATGAAGGTAGGGCTGTGAAGCCTGGTGCTGGGGGACTCTGCCAGCTAATTAATAAATGCCTTGTGCAGTGGGCCTGCAGGTTGCTGGGGGCGTGGGTGGGGTAGAAAGAGAAGTGGGCAGGGACAAATAACCAAAAGTCAGAGGTTGGAAAACTGCTCTAAAATACCCCCTTTCCTTTAACATCAATCAGATCGGCCTGTCCTGCTTGCTCAGTATAGCACTTTCCATTCCTTCTAGGAGTATAGGCTCTGGACTCCCGAAGGGTCAGAGGGTCATTTTCAACCTTCCTTTTCTGATAGTTCCTGGGTCTTCCTCTCTAACCAGCTCCTGCCCTGAGGGGTGGTCTGCATACCTCAGACCATCTTCTGGGACAGCAGAGGGGCTAAGGCGGGGGCAGAAGGGAAAGGTGGGCATTTAACCATCCATGACATGCTCAACTTTGTTCAGATCTCATACCTCTCAGAAAGGTCAATGGTTAGAGGTGAGCACTCTCGCAGAGAAGGAGGAACGGAGAGAAATCCTCCCTCCTGTTAACCATTTACTTATGTTAACGCTTCCAGAGGAGGGCCCTTGTTCTGGGGGTCCAACGGCCCTCCTCCGACCCCTCTGTCCAAGACTGCACATTTTCCACAGTAACTCCTGCTTCCATGTTGGGGCGACATCTAGAAAGGGGACTCTGAAAGGTCACCAGTGAGGTCACACCGGCCCTTCCTCCCTGTTGACAGGAATCAGTGTGCCTTGGTAAAAGAGCTGAAGTAGACTTTAGGCAACTAAAACATATAAAGAGAAACTTTTCAGCCCTAACCTCCCACTACAGTTCTTGCTGGGGCCTCCAGTCACCTTAGGGAAGAAGAAGGTTGCATGCGGAGGAGAGGGAGAGAGGAGGAGAGAGAAAGAGTGCAAGACCGAAAACAATCTACCTAGAATCAGATTTGAGGTCTGGCCAGAAACGAACAAGTGTGTCTTTGAAGCATGATAATTATTCCCATTGCTTCGGCTGGTTTTCATTTACCTCTCAGAGGCCACAAAAACCCATTTAGTCATTCAACAAACATTAACTGAAGGTCAGCTTAGCTCCCACTCCAGTACAGGATGCTAGGCAGGGAGAAGGCTGGTAGTTAAGAGGTAACAAAGGTGAATCAGACTTGGTCCAAGGAACTGGAAGTAAACACACTCCTGGCAGCATAGGTGAAGGAGGGGCTGAAGGGACCACCAGAGCTGGCCCTTCCCCTCCTGGCCGACAGAAGGGAACTGGCCATTGCTATTAGGGGAAAAGATAACATACACTACCTGCCCAGGGCCAAGTATCCAGTGAGTAGGTGATGCAGAAGTTGAGAGGGGCGGAAGAGAGAGCCAGTAAGAATGTGTGCATCTGGCTGCATGGTCAGGGCAAGTGTCGCTAAGGAGAAGAGATTTGAGCTTGGTCTAAAATGACTGGGGAGAGAGGGAGGGCAGTGGTCCCTTCCAGCTGATGCTGGTAGAGCCAGGTGAACAGGGCAGGTGTTGGGAGGCTGGGGTCATATGTTTAAATAAAGGTGGTGACATGAAGAGGGGCTTACTGTGGAAGGGAAGTGGGAGATCAGGCAGGAGCAGCAGGTGGGAAGGCCTGGAGCACTGGAAACAGGCGCCTGGAGGGTGAATGTGCCGGCCCTGGGCACTCTCTCAGCAGGGCAGTGAGACAGGCCCTGAGAGTGAGTCCCCTTCCTCTTATGGGATCCCCTCTTAGTTTGACATTACTCCCATCCTGATCAGCTGAAAGTGGCAGGATGTGAAGAACTGGAAACTCTTCTCAGTGTCTTATTTTAATCCCATGTCTTTTAGATACGGTCTCACTTCAAGTCTTTCATTTCCGCCATTGTAAACTGGAGAGAGGGACCTCTACCTGGTGGCCCTGTGATGGTTAGACGACATTTATGTGCTGAGCAGAGTCAGAAGCCCACAAGCCCTTGGGAGGTGCGGCCGCTGTTGGTGTTGAGAGGAGCTGATGAGATGGCACCTGATGCTCAGCATGGCAGAGCAGTGGCCAGGACGTCA